ATTGCCATAAATCAACACTTTAATTGCTCAAAATTTCAATCCATTATACTTAATCATAATCATTAGGTTTAGACTCTCATTAACTCTATTTAGTTTTCATTAACTTAAAAAATCACTAATATAAACCCAACAATCCAAAATCACATTTTGGAGGTCTAGGGTTCATCCAAAATAGATGACCTAAGCTTGCAAGCTTGTAAAAACTTCTAAACTATTTGCAAAATACTCAAACAACTCACATTAGACTTCTTCAGACTAATGGGTTTAGACCCATAGTCTTAAATTCAAAAATCATCATCTCTTAACTTTAAATCTCACTTTTAAAATGTATAAAGAGAAGAGAAGAGATAAGGAAGGCATTCTTATGTGAAACCAAGCTCCAAACACCTTTAAAATTCTAAAAAGTTGATGTCCTCGTAGAGAAAATACTCTCTTTATCTCTCCTTTGTTTTTTCATCTTACTCTTTGTTTTTGAATTGTTTTCATGTTTTAAAAGCAATTGATTATGAAAATTATGTTGTTGTGAAAATTTTTATGCTACAGTATAATGCACAGTGGATTAAAATCTATTTTTTTTCTTCAATTTAAGTTCGGATGACCCAATTAACTTTCCAATCCAATCTAAAGGCTAAAATCAAACCTAATAATTATTTCTAACTATCCTTAAACCTAATTATAATTAAATTTATATAATTATCCTTCATTAGATTAATAAATTATGGAAATTTTTTTAAGATGTTATAGATATTGTATGGAACTCATGTGGTATGCTGACATCATAAAAGCCCCAGTGCATAATCTCTTTCTTGTTTAGAAGTCCCAATACCATCTTAGAGGTGTAATAGGCGTACGATACCTTGGGTATTCAAGAAAGAGGGAACCTGTGGCCCAAGAATAGGCTATGGTGTCCTTGATTGAGATTGCCTCCTATAATTGGCGAGATTAGACTAGTCTAGGCACATGAATTTTGTCCTATTGTGTTGTTAGCCCAAAGGTTCAGTAGAAGGAAATAAAGAGGATATAAGGTGGAGACTGTTAATCATACATTATATGGATTGCTATATGATAAACATGTGTTTATATGTATTCAATATTTGTTTTACTTGCCACTTTACAGACTTATTTTCTATTCCTGTGTACTTGTAAATAAATTATATTGTTTAGTTATTGAGTCCTTGACTCACTCCTATAGTTATATTTTATCAATGAAGGCTCCAATAGGGGTAAAGGGAAGGAGGACTTTGATAGAATTTGAGGAACTTAAGTTTGTATAGCTCTCCCCTCTCTTTTTATATTTTGTAACAAATCAATTGTATAAATATGCCAACTTATGATCATATATTGTTTTGGGGTCACTTGCATGAGAATTTAATATTTATAGGTATCTCGATCTATGATAATGTAACTATAATGAAATGACTATAAGAAATCAAGATACTAATGCGAGTGGCATTATTGTGATGTTTGTATGTGCTTTGATGGCCATGAGATGTTTATTATGAGTTTTGTACGCATCCTTTGATTAATGTGAATTTGAGATTTTAATGGTCAAATTATGTTTGGATTGTATGTGATAATATATGAATGTTTAATTAGGTTTGTTATGGTCTATTTGAGTTGGTTCAAGTGGTCATAAGGTTATTAGCACTTGTTTGGTGAGTTTGGACACCCTTATGTTTGTTTTGAAAGGAAAAAAGATAATTTTATATCTAAGTATTTAACTTTTAAAGGTAAAGTGTTTGGTTGTGAGATCAGTAACAATAGCTAGGCGGCTTAAACAGTTACGTGTAGACACTTGAATAGCTTAAATCGAACGTTGGATAGCAAAACGATGAACTTTAGAAGTTCATCGGAGGTACTGTCATGACAGCAGCATGTAATGTGGTGCAATGCATAGTGAGAGTACTTTTATCTCTATGCCATCTGTCGTGGCTAATGATGCATGTGCTACGGCGGAAGGGACAACTTTAGAGGTATCCAAATTGCCCTCTTTTGATCTTTGTATGCATTAAATTATGTTCTCATACTTCTGTTACTTCCTTAAACTTGTTTTAAACTATCATTTGTGCTCAAACATTCTATCAAAAAGGGTTTCTTAAGATTTCAACTTTTAAAATAATTTTTCTTAAACCCTCGTGTTATGATACTCTAACATAAGAAATTATCTTAATTTTAATTATCATAATGGTGTTGTGTGTTGTGTCCTAGTAATGTTAAGGTGAATATTAAATATACATGCTCATGACAATGAGAAGTCAAAACTAGAGTATGTGCTATATGAATCTCACAAAATGTGTTTGGTTTTTAGCTTGCCAAAAATTAATTTATTGAAAATTCATTTAACAAAAGTCAGTTTAGTAAAAGTCAATTGTATAATGAAATTTATGTTTGGATACATTTTTTAAAAAATTAATTTGATAAACTGAAAGTTGTTTTATTTAAATTTTGCAATTTTTGAAAAATCTACTAGGTGTTGATCTTTTTTCAAAATCTGTATGCTTCATAGAGGCTTCAGTTGAAGCAATAAGTTTGTATCATCCTATTCAGATAAGGCCTAGTCAAAGACAATGTGTCTTTTCTCTTCCTTCAACGCCTTCTAGCTACCGGAGAATCACTCATGAGTTGTTTCAGCTAGTTATCGTCAAAATTTTGATCCATATCTTGAGCAAGGTGTAAGCATGTCTTTTAGCTCAGGGAACAACTAGTATTAAGCCTATAACACTAGCCAAAGAAGTTCTCAACTGGCAGTCTCAAAATGCTGTCAGCCAAAACAAAGTCCTGCACAGGATAGACTTAAAGCTTAACCATCTAACCATGACAATTGGAAATCTATCTTTACAGGTTAATGACTAAAAAGGACATTGAATTATGATAATTGGTAATTTTTGTTATGCAAATATAATATATTATAAATGTTTAAAAATGTGAAAAAAAATTAAAATAACATAAAATTTAATATGCTAAATAATAAGAATAAAAAATATATAGTTTAATATTAGAAAAAATTAAAACATAATAAGGGTATCATGGTTATTTATAAAAAGTAGGGACAACCTAATTGCAAATTTCAAATCCACATTTCAATCCATTTAAAAAGTTATTTTTTTTCATTTAAAAATTATCCAAACAACATTTAACATTGTGAATTTCAAATGTTAAATCTTGATTATTCCAATGTACCATATATCAGTATTCATAGACTCGTAATTCAGTTGGGAGGTGCAGGCGAGGAGCATAACACTTTATTCTGAGAGAAGCTAATTGGGTAGCCCCCCGGCACAATGGAAACCTCCTCTGTGGAGCTTTCATTACATCTGGATACACGCTCTTCTGTGTTGGGACCAATATACAGTCTCTAACCCCAAAAAAAGACACCTTCAAGAATCTTAAAATAAAAAAGTCGAGCGAACGATGGTGAAGATCCAGTATTCTAACTTATTAACATGGTCAAGCCTTTGAGAAAGCTTCTCTAATTATTAATTACCGATGAAGCTATCTAGCATTCGATGATCGCGAATTCTGACCATGCATCTCGTTAAAAATTATGTTATCTTCTTCGTCATTATAGCACAAATGCACAATCATGCATGCTTGTTTTTCTCCACTCAGTTTCCTTATTAACAGTTCTCTCTATTTTTTACAATACGAGTTACTAATAATTACATAAATTAAGAAATTCTACTCAAAATGATACGATGATTAATATTTTTTGAGTTTTTAAAAATTATCCTAATAAATTTCATTAATCAAATGAGATTATTTAGTTAATCAAGACGGTTTTTACGGTTAGCCGGCGAATATCAAAGTGAAAGGTATTTATAAAAAATAGTAGTCCTGTTCAAAAGTATAAAACAGTTTTTTTGAGATTATATGCTAAAAAAAAATTAAGATTTTTGATGTGTAATTAATGATTTTTTTCAAAAATATCTTTAATAAATAAATCATTCAACCCTCCACCTTTAAGTAAAATGCCCTATTAAATAAGATTAAATATAAAAAGATTGTATTAATTTAAAATAATAATTAACTTATTAGGAGTATAATTTAATTAAAAATATTTTATATTTTGTAAAGGAGATAGTGCTAGATAAAAAGCCTTGTATTAAAACAATGAGAAGGGTCTTATAATTAAGATAAGGGTTCATAAACAAATGGTGAGGATCCAATGCAGAGGATGACAGTGTCCCATGCTTTTGGAATGAGGACAAACTTTTGTTTGCATGTCGTGGCCTTTTAGATTCTGCTGTTTTGGTGATTTTGCTTAATTTTTTTAGTCCTTATTCTCCGTTAGATTTGAAATATCTTCTGCAGTTTTACGCACTATTGGCTCACGAGCACCAATCGTGGTGGAGAATTTATTTCCTGGCGAGCATCCATTAATGTTAGGGTTTTTAAATACAGATACGATGTGTATTCCAGAGTTCTCATAATGTCGCCCTGATTCTTACTTTCGAATCCCCTACCCAGACCACTTGTTTCTTTTTAAGTTTTTTCTCTCTCTCTCTCTCTCTCTCTCATGAAACATGCAAACGGCCCATTATATATATTTCAAGCGAAATCCAAAAAAGAACGTTATCTCCAAACTGCCCAAAATTACATAAAACCTCCTGATGTTAATCTTTAAATACCACCACGCGCCAGACCTCGTCACTGTGCCTGGTACGAATTTATCCCTTGGCCTTTATTCTTACCTTAATTTTCCCCCAGCATCTTATAACAAAGATTGGCCTCTTAAAGAAAGAAGCCGTCCTTTTTCTATAAAGTTGATGATGTCTGCGTCCTTTTTGTTTTTTTTTTTTTTGCTTTTACAGCATGTTAAGCTGACGTCATCTTGATCGCCAGGCTTTTTCGGAACAAAATCTTGGGATCTCTGGCCTTTGAGCCCCTGCATAAGTCGCGTCTAAATAACGGTCAAAATATAGTATCCATCAACCAACGAGTCAGGTCTACCAGAAATAGCTATTCTCTCCTAAATCAACGTTTGAAAAAAATAAAGAAATTCCTATTTAGTTATTATTTTTCAAACAAAGGATTCCTTCAAAGATCTCCCTGTTTGCTTCTTGGAGATTTGCCGCTGGCGTGTAGATCTCCCCTCTATAAAAACATGCCATTCCTTCTGGTGGTCCATCACACAACACATCCTCTCCTTCCTTCTCGAGGCCGTCATTAGTAGTCAAACCAGAGAGCGATGGATTCTTGCGGTAACATCTCAGATCCATCATGCGTTGGGAAGCAATCCCATGTTTCCAGGAATTTCGCGTGGCCGAAGGAGAGCGTGGTCGAAGCCCAAGGAGAGCTGGAAGCGCCACTGGTGGATCTTGACGGCTTCATCAGAGGCGACCAGGACGCCACCCGCCGAGCCGCCGAGCTAGTGAGTCGAGCTTGCCTGACCCACGGCTTCTTCCAGGTGATCAATCATGGAATTGATTCGCGTCTCGTCGAGGAGGCTTACCAACAGTTGGACGCTTTCTTCAAGCTCCCACTTCACAGGAAATCAAGCCTTCCCAAGACTGCCGGCTCCATGTGGGGCTATTCTGGCGCTCATGCTCATCGTTTTTCCCGCAACCTCCCTTGGAAGGAGACCCTCTCTTTCCCCTTCCACCACAGTAGTGACGTCTCTGAGCCTGTCGTCTCCACCTTCTTTACTTCTAACATTGGACAAGATTTTCAACATGCTGGGTAAGACCGACACTACATTAGTTAATTCATTAATTAAGGGCATGTGCTTATTTCAAAACAACGATGATCTGATAGTTATTAGCGTTAAGAAATAAATAATAACGTTGGGAAGCACAGGATGGTGTTTCAGAAGTACTGCGAGGGAATGAAGGAGTTAGGGTTGAAGCTGATGGAGCTTCTGGGAATAAGCTTAGGGGTGGAGCGGTGGCATTACAGGGAATTTTTTGAAGACGGAGAGTGTATAATGAGATGCAACTATTACCCGCCATGCCATGAGCCTGGTCTTGCCCTTGGGACGGGACCGCATTGCGACCCGACTTCCTTGACCATACTTCATCAAGACGATGTTGGAGGGCTCGATGTTTTCACAGATGACAAGTGGCAGAGGGTTCCTCCTCGTCCTCACGCTCTTGTGGTCAATATTGGCGATACCTTTTCGGTAAATATTCTCCATCTTCTTACCTATTACTTCTTCACTGTTCCTGCATTCAACCTTTTCGTTTATTTCCTTGATTAATCAGTTAAACTAATTAAACCCGTGTCTGCTTCTCATTATCAATCTCTGGTTCTTATATGGCAACGCATGAAAGTATTGCTTTAAAAACATGCCACGCGCAGGTTTAGTCGTAGGAGAATTGAGTTCTTTGTCATCTCTTTTTTGTTTAAACGGGCTGTGTCAGGTGTTGTGCAAGTATTGTATCTCGGAGTTTCTGAATTCACGTGGTAGTTCTACCAGTTTAAAAGGGGAAAAAGTTTAATTGAAGTCTAAACTCAACAAAATGAATCTTTTGATATTATTGTTTTTGTAGTATTAGTTAAAGAATTGGATGTACTAGAATTTGTCTACCAGAAATAAGGACTTTGGGTTATGCAACAAATTACACGGTTAAAACTTTAACTGGTAATAGAAAATAATATTTTTGTCAACTTTAAAAAAATAAAGAAAGAAAGACCACACGTTGACATTCTGCTTTATGCCGTTTTGTCTATTACCTTGCTTTATAAAAGCACTTTTCATTATTTCCATGGTTGAAAAGATCACAAATTCTTTCAAGTTTATATGACCTATTTTAGTCTCTTGTATCTTCAATTCATTCTTTAAATTTTTAATTTTTAATATATTTTAATACGGTAACGTATTACAGTATCTTTATCAAAATTTACAAGAATTTAATACTTTTATTAAAATTACATAATTTTTAAATAATTTTATGCAAATTTCTTTTCAGAATTTATCATTTCCATAATATATTTTTAAATTGGGAAAAATTATAATATACTTTCATCCAATCAAATCAAGACAGGTAAATTTTAATGTATTAATTAATATTAATAATAAGAATTTATTATAAGATAAATAATCTATTATAGATACTGATATCTTAATTTAATTAGAAACAAGTAATATAAGTTGTTCCCTTTTAAATTTTCAATTTTTTAAGGTTTGTGTTTGAATTTTTAAAGTTAAAATACTGTGCTATTTTTTATTATTATACAAAATTTTAATTCAGACCCTATTTTTTAAAATGTCTTGATAATTTTTGAATTTAGTCATCATCATCAAATCTTCGTTGATATGATATTCTTAGTATCCTCTGTTTATATTAATAATTTATATATACCTTAGTTTATCCCGATCATTTAATCTAATGAATGGCATCATATCTGAACGAATTATTTATTATTTTACACTATTGATATATTATTTTCAAAACATAAATCATACACACACACACACACTCAAAATGTAAGAACCATACAAAATTAATCATGTTAATGCTTAATATTGTAATTTTAGTCATAGGCCAGGATTAATAGTTACAAATTTTTGAAACTAGATTAATAGTGAAGAAAGCCATGAGCATCGAATGGAGAATTTACCCTTTCATTCAAACACTCGCACACACACACAAAACAAAGAAAGAAATGGAAACAGAATTAAGTAGCACTTAATATAGTTAATTAACTTCTCGCACTTATTCATGGTTTTCGTGACGCCTGCTTCTCCCGAACCTTTTTGGTTTAGATTAGTTTATTGTTCTGTGTGCGTGGATATATATATATATATATAAAGAGAGAGAGAGAGAGAGAGCATGAGTTATTTAATGATTATTACTAAACTATTTTTAAATACAATACAATGATCCGATCTGCCGACCGAGAAGCTAATTAAATTCAAAGTTTGAGGGTGTCAAGAGTATTCCAAAAGAAATTGGGAGAGGACAGGCTGTACATGAAGAATTGACAGAAGGGATTGGATGGAAGACATTTATAATCATTAATCGAGAGAAGAGTACCACGTATGAATGAGAGCGTGTGTACATATATATTATCTGCTAGATGCAAAGGTTCAAAAGGACAAGAGGATTATTGCATGCTATATGTGTGTGCGTGTGTGACTGATGAGCGATATAATAAGTTGTGGTTGGTTGCGTAGGCACTATCAAACGGGAGATACAAGAGCTGCGTGCACAGGGCAGTGGTGAAAAGGTACAAGGAGAGGAGGTCCATGGCATTCTTCGTGTGCCCCAAAGGAGACAAAGTGGTGAGACCCCCTCAGGATCTGGTGCTCAGGGATGGCGCCACCTTGTTCCCTCACTTCACGTGGTCCGACTTCCTTCTTTTCACTCAGTCCTTCTACAGAGCCGACCACTCCACTCTCCACCACTTCACCCGCTGGCTGCTCTCCTCCAAACCCTCCTCTGCTTAACCCCTTCATTTCCTGCTCCCTCTTCTGCATTATATAATGCATCGTGTTCATCCCTGAACTGCCATATATGTTTGTTTCAGATCAATATGCATTAATATAATGAATCTTCCTTCTCCCCGTCATTATTTTTGAAACTGTGTCGTGTTAATTCACTTCATCAGCGTAAAATTGGCAGGGTTTGGAAATATAGCTTTTCAGGATATAACATGGATGATACATGCGAGTTTAAAGATAAAAAAGGAAGGAGCCATCAACCACAACCATCCCTCTGTAACAAGGGATTTCAGTTGAAATGATGAGTTTCCCTTTGAATCAGATTTTCAACCCGTGTTGAGGGTCCATACGCACGTGGATGGAATTAAGGAAAATTAGCCGACACCAAGGAGACAAATAAGAAAACATATACATGCAACAGCCCCTGGCAATAGGTTTGTCGTATGCGTGGGTGCAAGAAATTGAAGGACTGAATGGAGATGGGGAATCAAAATGAGGACGATGGAAAGGACAAAGAAATGCAAGCTGTTTCACAAGTCATGGTACCTGCGAGGTTGGATGATATAATAATGTTAAATTGTTCAAGTGTTAGTGAATACAAAATGATATGAGAAGTCTTATATTAAATAAAATTAAGTTTAATAACTAATATATAATAAGAAAGAATTTACAATCTTAAGCTTAAAGAATTTAAGTTAAGATATGGCATTCTTTTGCTATTCTTGCCGGTCTCTCTTCTCTCTTTATTCTTGAGCGATCGCTTCCCCATTCTTAACAAGTGAAGCTGGAGGTGCAACCCTAGCATGCATGGAATCCTTTATGCACAATTTGGTTTGACGGGGCTTTGTTGGCCATGTCTTTTGCAGCCCCTTCCAGGTGCCAATTATTAATTGGAGGAAGGGGGCGAGTTCAATTTATTAGGAGAAGTATTTGACGAACAAAGCCTGAGGTGTATGCATCCCATATACTGTGTGTGTGTGTGTTCAATTCGCAGCTTGGTGGAATATTACTAATCAGATCATCGACAGTTGATTTTTGACTTGCAGGTACGTACTTACGCTACGAATTTGATTGATGAGATTTGAATTCCGACATCATGAACGAGATAATTAAAAGAGTAGAAAGGAATTAGGAAACTTGGTTGGTAGGAAAGGCCCGTTTGAAATCCATGTGGGAGAATAGCTATAATGAATGGTTTAGTTCCGTTTTGAAGCAGGGAGAGGTGATCTCATTTTAATTGGCACGGATGAAGAGAGAGAGGGAAAATAAGTGGGACAACTTGTTTGGCAAGAGTGAATCAGCAAGTTAATGAAAAGGGGAGAGAGAGGAGACAACGTGCGACGGGGAAGTCAGGAATAATGCAAATGATGAGGTTAGTTTTGTCTGAAAATTATACTCTCCAGGGAGAGGTTCCCCTTTCCACAAGTTATTTTGATGGAAGGGCGTCTCGGGGTCGTTTGGTTGTACCAAACACCAGAAAGTGACCCCTCCCTCTGCAGTGCACCAAGGATGGCCTGGGAGCGGATCTGTGTCTCTTATTGGGTGCCAAACAAATCTAGTGGATCAGGTGGCCCTTTAATTAAGTGAGACGTATTGCTTTCACTCGCCCATAAAAGTCCAGAGAAGTGGACGAGGTCGAATATTGGGCCCCTTCCAGGGGCAGGAACATTAGCGAGCGATGCAAATTTAACTTATAAGGTACACTATCTAATTAAAATATTAAGTGCTCTTCTACTTTTACTCCGTTAATTTTAATAGCTTTCTTGTAATTTGACCGAGTCATGATGGTATTCGATTTAATTAAATGAATAAATCAATCTAAGAACTTTTCTTAATCAGCATTGAAAATATTTAAAACATCATAGCGTTTATTGCTTATTGTCTTACTGACCCTGCATTGATTACTCCGGGTGAGCCTATGGCACAGAAAATTTTTGTTTTTTTCCCCTCTCCGTTCTCTTTTCTGTTCTCTAGTGTAAGTAATTCATTTTGACAGTCCAAATTGTCTCCATTCTGATTTGATATATTTCTCTTTTCCTGTTAAATCATATTGTACACTCTCTCTTGTTTTAAACTTGAAGTACTGTTCTCACTCCAGAAAAATTCTCTCCTGAACCTGACGAATAATGAGAATGTTTTATGCATGGCAAGGTCCGAATCCAGTGAAAAGTGATCGAGTCATACAAAGGAAATCCCAAACAGTTCTTTGAGCTTAGTTTTGTGCTTACCATCTTTTTCAGAAAACTAACGCAGCATTTTTGTCTTGTAAACCTTGATAAGCATTGCCATTAATTGTGTGATGCAGAGACACATTAATACCATGCAGAGACAAATATTTCATTGAATGCGATCTATCACATTCCCCGCAAAAGACTATTACTCCCTTGGCAAAAAAATATAAGACGTTTTTTATTTTTAAGTTAGGTGTTCAAAAATACTCCTTCCATTTCAGTTTATAAAATACTTTTTAAAAAAACTTTAATATCTCAAAATATAAAATATTTTAACAAAAATAATGTTTTGTGGATAGTGATTTTCAACATTATCATTTTTATACATTCTTTTTCTTTAATATTTTTTTACAAATTGAGTATCTATGATTTTTTCTAAAAATTTCTTATAAATTGCAATTGAAGAAGTATATTTTTTAGTTTTTTAATGTATAATTAATATGTTTTTTTTTCAAAAAAACTTTAATAAATACTTTAAGACATTTTTTAGAAGTTTCTACTTGATTCAAAATATAAAATATCGAGTAGATTATATATTTCAATAGACCTGAGAGTAATTAATTGTTTGAATGGGACTCACATTTAACATTTAAAAATATAAGATATTTTTAACCAAATCTCACTTCTAATAAAGTAGTTACCTACTTTTCAACTAACCCTATCTTTTCATATTTATTCCTATTAAATACTCTACAATAAATATAAAGTCATTATCAATAAGAGCACTTTTAGAAAAAAATGTAATGATTACATATCGAAAAACTAATTTTTTTTATATTTTTTAATATCTAACTCCTGAAAAAATGCTTTACATTTTTTAATGGAGGAAGTATATATTTTTTTACCAGTATTTTTTTTTTTTGTTTTTTGGCCAAGGGTACCAGCACGAGTCATAGTATAATTTAGACAATGAAAATCTTCTAAAACATAACCCTTTGATAAGGACGCGGAAGGTCATAGTAAGTCGATACTCCTGCTGATTAAAACGATGAAGAATATTTTTACAAAAACAAAAAACAAAAGAAAAGGATAAAGAATATGAGTGGGGTAACTGAGAATAGAAACGCACTGTTAGACTGAGAAATAGAAACGTTGTTATTGTCGCGTTCCTTGGCCACTAATTCAATTTCAGTCTTCAATCATTATGTTTTTATTATAGTCTTCAATCATTCTTTACACACTACCATGTTCCCCACTTTTGGTTATCCTAACTTGATTTCTGAAGAAATCCTTTGGATCCGTGCCTAGGAATTTGAGCATGAAAGTAGCTCGGCAATTTAAAACAGACTTTAATTAAGGAACATCGGGATATTATTTTTTTATGAGATGTGTGGACCATTGAATTTAAATGGATATATTATGTCAGTTTCATATTTCTTACTATATATATATATATATATTTTTTTTTTTCCCCCGTATATGCATGCATTGATGAATTTGTTATCCTTACATTGATATGCTAATACCACCCCCACCACTAACTATCACTGTCATAATTAATCAGCAACGGCTTCTCTGCCACCCCTGCTATACTTCTCTCCATTGTTTTGTTTTTACTGCAGTAGCGCTCTGAAGAACTTTTCTAAATTTCAGAAAGTTTATAATGTTACCGCAATAAAGTTTATGCATTACGGACTTACAGTACCCAGAACCAAGCAAAAAATATATGAAGACAGCAAAAAGAACTAATTGATATCCACAGAAAAAACAATGCTTCTCCAACCCTCATTAAACTTGCTGCTCTCTCTCTCTTTGAAGTCGCTGAATCATTCTTTTTCCCCGTTAACCAACAATAATCTGGAAGTACAGCTTGTTCTGGTTCTGGACTTAATTACAAGAATTTCATTCCGATCGAACTTGTAAAATCCACAATCTGCAGGTCTTTTTAGGATCTTAGCATTGTTTCTAGCCTTAAGAATATAATGTAATTAAATAATTCAGGTAACATGACATTCTATCACCCTTGAGCGATGTAAATCCTTAATAACAACTGCTGGCGCTTTCATTAAGCGAGAGTAAAGCATAGAAGCAACATATTTTAGAGCAGAAAGCGATGCAGTTATTTGAGATTCTATTCGCATGCCTGTTAGGTCCAATGCTGCTGGAATACGGACGTTTCCTATTGTCAAGAGTTTTTTTCTCCTTAGATCAAGAACTAATGTCAGAAGTGTGGGTAGCTATTATTTGAGCTCATGGCCTTGCGTGTCCCTTTCCTTTGATGGAAGGTTTGTGCTCGCCCGCGCGTGTGAATGTCAATATGTAACACATCTTTCCCTTGGCAATATAATGCCCCGAAATTAAAGCTGGCCAACATAGCGCTGCAAGAAAAATTGTCATGGATGAGATTTGAAATATGATTAGTGGTGTTTCATGGGAGCCTGAAATGGGAACAAAGTCATTGGATTTGGACCTCTTAAAGGGGAAACAAAAAGCATGCAGTTTTGCAAACGGGGCAGCGAAGTTGAGATCTGTCGTGTCCAATTCCATAAGGGTAGGGAGAGGAGGGAAGCGACTAGCGAGTACTCTCCTATGCCCGACATAAACCCTAGTACGAAACCACAAGGTTGCTGTGTCACTCACGTGTGATCGGCAGAATATGAGAGGAGGGGACAAAGGGCATGTAATTAAGGAAGAAAGAGGGGATATTGATATGGGTGGGGTTTGACGGATGAATATATAGAGAAACGTGAAGCGCCAAACTCCAATAAACGAAGAATAGTCAAGGAGGATGGAAGACGGTGATGGGTCAAGTCAGTGTAGCCCAATTCATTTCATACCCAATGGAATTAATCAGATAAAAACAGATGGAAGAACAGGTACGCAGTGTTGGCACTGTCTAATAAATGCAAATACCCTTCTGAATTGCACATAGCATTTAAAAAATTAGAAAATAATAATAAAATTGCCCAGAGGGACGGTGGAGGGGAGTGGGGCTCATTCTCGGAGGGACAAATCCCTAATTAATGCTATCGATATTACTTTTCCTGATCTGCCTCCGTAACGCGTGCCTTTGTGGGGATATCCCCAGCCTTCTTCACCTTCTCTTTCTTGTTTTCTTTTCGACTCAGACTTTTCTTCTTGACTTTTCTCCTAAATTCAAACTCGCTCCCTTTTCTCTTCCATTCTAGTCACGGTTATATAAATTTGAGTAAAATACAAGTAATCGACATGGAAAAGATAAAAAAAAGGGGGAAAAGGGAAGATGAATTCATGGCTGTGATCAGAGTTGATGAATAGGAGTGGATACAGAGACAGCACTGTCAAGCTCAATTAAAAGCAAAGCATGATTGCACCAAGTACGTCATCATTGTCATGCAATTTGGCAGTGTTCTGTTTTCTTTCTCTCTTTTCCTTGAAATTCATTTTGTTGTTTTGACTGCGTCTGAGAACTTGAAGGGGGCAAGCAAACTGTGCAACTGTGGTTGGGATCTCCAACACGGATCTCAAGGTTCATATCGAAGCACTTCGCTTAAAATGGCCAATATGCTAAGTCACAGTGCTATCTCTCTATCTGTAAGTTGATGAGTGTTTTACAATTCGGCCTCTCCGCGATCTGCCCATGAGCACTTGGTTTGTTTCTCTTTTGTGCATTGGATTCTGGGCCTATTAAATGCCCTTTTTGACAATTCCTGTGCAAACGGCCTTGCTTTGTGTGGCAGAAGAAGCGAAAGGGGTTCGAGTGTATCTCATATCATATCATCACTTAAATTCTCACCTACCTCTCTCGCCTTGTCCTTTTTGTCTTTTCTGACTGTCTTCTTCCTCCCTCCTCGCCTTTACTCTCTTCACTCGGACGTTCAAACTCAAGTCTGCTCATGCACTCATTGTTTTTTGCAAACTTGCCCCCACCCTTTATGCTTCATATCATCGAACCTATAATCAACCTTTCTACGCAGCGGCCCCCCCCCCCCCCAAAAAAAAAACAAAACAAAACAAAATATCTTGAAGCATGCTTCGATTGCATCAGATGTCCTCTGAAAGCTTCTGAGACAATCTTGTGAAGCACCCCTATAACAAGCTTGCTACTAGAGTTCTTAATGACCCTAATAGCTAGGAACACACTACTCCACCTGATCATCCCTAAACGGGTCCAATCTTGATAATAATTTCAATCATAACTTCAAAAAATGATCAGCAAATAACAGCTTGTGTATTTCTTTAGTAGAGGGGAGCTGACTGAATGCTTTTAGGCAATTAAGTGCAGCACATACTCAGCTCCATTCTGCGTATACTATTTATTTGTTCATTTATTGTATGATGTTTAAACTACAAATAATCTCGTGAAAGAATGTTCTAATCTTTTTCTAGCCCTTTTTCCCGGAACATGCAAGCTGCTTCTAACATCCATCAGTAGACACGGGCAGGACTCCGTAATCCGCTACGCTCCTGGCTCCTGTCCTCAGGTCTCTCTACAGCCTTCACCTTCACACCTACACGTCCAAGTCTTGAAGCAACCATTTCTTTAAACCATTAAGCACCGCAAGCAAATTTCAACATCAATTTAAGTAATCAAGATCCAGTTATCATATTAATTTTGGACGTGAAGTGCTTTTAATTAGAATTAAGTCTCCACATAATACTGCCTCCCATTTTTGTTGTTGGTACACGCGTTTGTACATGCGGGCTAACATTTTTGGCCCCTGCGCATAAATTTTTTCAGAGACAGTCAAATAAGGGCATAATTTTATGTAGGCCATCTTTTTTAAGCTTCCCTGAACTATAGTATTATATAAATTACATTAAGCTTCACAGAAACACATTGTCCGAATTACAGCAAATGCAACTAGGGAGATCGATTTGCAAATTTCTACTAAAGCGAATTCTAGGATTTTGTAATGTAGTTATTCATTAACATTGACTTTTTAGGATATTCTGTACTTAGTAGATTTGAAAATCTAAGGAACCAAGAGAGGAAAGTCAACAAGACACTGATGCACCACCATCTAATACTGCACTAACTTTATGTCTGTATTTTCTAATTTTCGCTGAAAGTTAATTTGGCATGAACAGTCATTTCTTGATATCTGTAATACTGGCACGATAATTATATATACACAGTGCTTTGCCAACTGAGCGATGAGAAACACCGTGCCCATTGCCCCATTACATTTAGCTGAATGATATGCAGCTTAGCCGCGCGTTGGATCATGGAAGTGAGTTGTGTTGGGACTCTACCATCTTTCTGTTTCGCAAGTTTCTATAATTTTAGAAATAAAAAAGGTTGGAATTCACGTAAGAAGATCTGCGTCCATTAATCTATTTCACATGGACAAAATTAAAACTAGAAGCACAGCAACATCCATCAATCAATTTATAGATATAACAAAATTGTCTATGCAAAAGGAACATTTATATTAGAAATTTAGATGTCAGGTTCTCTCTTTCCCATATTGAATCCTTCCCACCTGCATGTATATCAGCGCAAAACAAAGAGAAACTATGAGAATCTGGTTAGCTTGTATATATCAGTGTATCGTGGGATGATAGTAATTTATTCTCTTAATTGGAATATGTAATTAAAGAAAAGTTATAAACAGCCGTATCTTTTTAATTCACCAAGAGAAATATATAGTGATAATTATGATTATTTTGATAGTTAGCAACGTCATTTTTTTTCCCAATCGAGGAATCCCCCACTTTATTTCTTTTCTGGGTAAAAATACAGGGTTAATTCAACAGCAGTGACAATGGATACATCCCAGTCCTCAAAATTACCACTACATATAGTACCATGATGATAATAATGTATACAAATGGACACCACAACCAAGCATTTTTTTGGATAAGCGAGCATGAAGTCAATAACAGTAGAAATATGCATATATATGGAATGGAAATTAATAATTACCTATGGCATATGTTACGTGAAGTAGATTCGCAAGAACGACCCAGAAACCCTAAGAGGGATCAATGGTCCGACGATCGTCCCCAGTAGCAGCTCTAGGGTGCTGGTGCTGAAACTGATTAAGCTGCCCTATACTTGCGGAGACGTTCATGGACAAGAGACCAGCGTCATAGCCGTTAGCCGCGTCAAAGGTCCTAATCATGGGGGTCTGATGGTGGTCCCGAGGAAAGAACTGGTGGTGGTGGTAGTGGTGGTCGCCGATCAAGTTCATGCCCATGTTCTGAGCCTGATGGTGGGCCGCAATGAGGCTGTGCCCAGTGATGCCCAAGGTCTGGTACCTGGACAGCTCCGACTTGGCGCAGGTGAGGTCCATTTGCAGCTGCCGGAGTTGGTGTTGCAAGAGAGAGATCACTCCCACGCAGCCGTACACGGGGTCGCGGAGGCGCATGTCGGCCTCGTAGGCCAGAGAATTGACGGCGTCTTCACGCTGGTGGGGGTGTAACTCGTTAAGGAGCTTGGTAACATTACTTGCTCCGAATACTTTGTGCACATTAGCGAATTTCTGGGGCTGATCCGGCGGGAAGTAGGGTGCAAACACGCACTCCGGTTGGCACTTTCGCCGCAGAAACTTACAAGCCGCACACGGTGAATTCGATGACGATGCCATCCCCTTTTTTTATTTCTATTCTGCAATCACGCCGATATTTGTTTGATATTGGGTCAGACATATTCAGTAAGATGTTAGAAGAAAAGAGAGAAGCTTTGATCAATTCAAGTGTGCCAGATGACAACTATTATATTCAAAACGATGAAGAAATCATGCTATGGGTTGAAGCACACATGTTATATGACTTTGAAGGATCTGGATTTTGTATTTTAATCTGCTTAGATTGAGACGCGAATTGACGCTCTAATCATCCTCAGCTTAGTGCAGCGGTGAGCAAACAAGTTATGCGATTTTGTCTTGCACGATCAAAAGTACCTGCAATTACGCGAACAAGACTCTACAGAAAAAAAGAAGAAAGAAGAAGTCTACTTCTCCCCAATTACCCAGGATGAAAGTGAGGCTTGGAGTCGAAAAGTGAAGTGATCAGAAGATAGAAATAGCTGTGCAAACCAGGATCTTGAAGAAGCGGAAGAAGGAGGAGTTAATATATTTTATTTTCTTTTAATAAGAAATTAGGAGAAGAGGCAGAAAGGAAGAAAAGGGGATACGATTGAAGTTGCCGGTGGATTTGACGGATTGGATCTCGTGAAGAGAATTTTTATTTCACTGCTTTCCATGAAAAAGTTAGCTAGGCCGCAGATCTTGCTTGAATTTCACCGCATATAAACGTATTATTATAATATACGTTAATTCGTGATCACCTTTTAAGTACATCGTTTTCATTCATTCTCTCGTATGGCACATACTTGTCCAGGAGTTCCCAAAACAAAACAAAAAAGCATAAATTTTTTGAAGTCTCACGTGGGAAGTAAAGATAGTTGGGGAAGAATGAGATGATGGCCGAGACTGACCGAGAATGCTGAAATAAAATACGAGCTATATATTCTGATTCCTCGATTGTCACTAGAGACTGTATATTAACAATAGAATAAAATAAGCAATGATGAAGAGGAAGAAGAATAGAGGTAGTTAGCTGGTTGACGGAGCGGGATGGCTACCTTGAATGGTCGGCCTTGATTTTCTTGAGTCAACTTTCTGGGATTCAAGCTTCTCTAAAATTGGACTAACACTTATAATACAAAAAAGATCACGGATCCCAACCGCCCGGGGCGTGGGGTTGGATTGCTGAAGCTGCTATTTCTGGTTGTTTTGATAAGGAGGGAGCTAAGGGAAACGGAAGATTTGTTGGGCACTATATAAGAGGCAGTATGGTCAGGAAGGAGAGGGCGCTCTTCTGGCACGCATATTATTCGCCGGAAAAGGCAAGGGGAGTGGGGAAAGCACGGAAAGATGATGATGGCGATGACATGGGTGACCCCCAGCTGCAGAGGCTAAGGAGACGGGCAGAAAGAGAGAGCGAGTCTAGGAGATGAAGGGGGAGCGAGATTTTGGGTTCGCATAAACGAAGGCCATGCTGATTATTATTTAGTTATTTGTTACTTGAAAAAAAGAGCAGTGTTGCAGGGCCAGGAGGGGGTGTAATGTTGTGTTGATGTGACCCTTCATCAAATTTCCTATTCTCTGTACTTCCTTCCTCGCAGGACGCTCAGCATCTCTCCTTTTTGGACTCTCTCTCTCTGTCTCTGACCTTTAACATTGTGCTCTCTGTCTTCCCCCTTCACCACCTAACCCCCCCTGCCCCTACCGAGGCCATGCCTGCCTCTCTCACCATATCTCTCGCTCTCTCTTTCTTTCTCTGGCCTTTCCCCTCTATCTTCTCCTTAAACAAATTTAGGCCACGCACGTTTATATCACAAAAATTAATTAAGAACCTCATTTGCCTAGTTGGACTGCTTGAGTCTCTGCATATATTCACGCGAGGCGATCATCATTTGAAGAGTGATACTGATTTGCTCAAGCTGAACTCCTGAAGTATGCTTTTTATGGCCAAGATTTCCAGAGGCTGCCACTTTTATCATAGATGTTGATGTTGATGTTGATGATGAAGCTAGGGCTGGTACGCAAGAGCTCCCGGATGGAGGGCCTCGACCCTAATACCTCGGGTAATTAAGTCAGATGACAGGGAGAACGGGAGAAAAATTCCAGAGGCTTACGAATAATTGCTCTCATAACTTGCACATTTCTTTTCTATTTGGCGCGCTACAACTGAGAATTGCGAGTACGTACTGGACGATCCTCTTGTTCTCTAGTAAGAGATCATGTGCGGGAGATATAATAAAATATGTGAAAGTTTAATCCTGCGGACTCGTCTCTTCACTTTGAACGCCAAGGAATTCTGATTCATCCATCGCGACTTCTGGGGAAGAAATTTAAAAACCATCTACAAGCCGGGCACGGTTCCTGAAGGCTGCACCGCAGGGTCTTTCGGTGGGGAAAATATGTAGAAGACCTTTTTTTAAAAAAAAAAAAATTGCTGGGTGTATACAGAAGAAAAGTGAATGAATAAACATAAGAAAAATAGTAAAAGTATATGCGGCATAGGAGATAGCAGAAATAAAATGCATTAGTGGTTGGAGTCTGGGACAATCTATCGCCAGCTGGCTGGAAGCGTGATCCAACTATGTCAAGCAGAGGGTTTTGTACGAAGGTTACTTCTATGCCACGTCACTTACTTCCACAGGCTGCTTCCATATTCTTCCACTTCACTAATCAAGCAATGTAATCCAATATTATATGCAACCCTCACTCCTTCGTCTCACACTTCCAGGTGTAGGCTTCCCGGGACTTCACAATTTATTTCACGGTATTTTCATTCAACCACGTTTAATTTTTTTTTCAATATTTTTGAAAGATTATATTTTATTCAAAATAATATTCAAATCGTTCTTGGCCAAAATTGATTGATTAAGCGACTGACTAAAAATAGACGTGGTCCTAACATTTCATGGGGCGACCGGTTTCGCTTTGCTGTTTTCAAATTTTAATTCAATATCTGGGCCCAAAGGTCTGTTTGTAAAAACCGAGTAGTCCAAAACAGCAACAAAATTTAAACTATCATTTCTACCAAAAATAAAAAATCTAAACTATCAAGGAATACAACAGTTACCAATGGACATTAGGTAAAGTTGACAACGCTATTGCTAACATTTTTTAAAATGAAGGTTCGAACACTAAAAATAACAAACATGATAATTAACATTGTTTTAAAGAGGTCGTCCTATCGATATCTCGCTATCATCATAAGGTTTTTTTGTGGAGGGTTTGAATTAGTTTGCGGCGGATAATGAACCCAAAACACTAAATGATTTATACCAAAAAAAAAGAAATACAACAGTTAATGTTAATTTTAACCACCCCTAGGGGGTGGGATGGGGGAATGTCATTTAATTTTGCCGAAGGCGAGTCAAGGTTTTTGAAAGTCAACCAACAAACAAATCAGATGAGTGAACTGGCAATATTAATTAATAATTAATAAAAACTATTTAACAATGATCAAAATCGTTTGGCAACAGCAATGATCAGTCTACCCAAACAAACACACAGACAATATATATCCTTCAAAGAACATATAAATTCGCACGACAACATGGTAGATTTTGGTTTACTCCTGTCCTGAAAGAACAATAGAGCCACATGTTGCCTAAGCCACAAAGTTACTGATACGCATATCAAATATGATATGTATTCAATAAGTCAATGCTTTAATTTTTAAAAATATAAAGTATGACACGTTTTCTATGTGTATATATATTTATAAAAAATATTAAATATAATTTTAATTTTAAAAATATTTAAATTAGCATACATATATAATCTTTTATGACAATGCCAAGTAAAATAAAATCATTAATTGTAGTTTTATTTTATTTATACCTAATGACTTACCATTTGGTCCTTGCTATTAGGTATAGTATTAATATCTCATCCTTTTCAATCATTATAAAATTATATTTACACTTTTTTCTAATTAAGAAAAATGTAATATTTATTTTTTATTATATCCAAAACTTATTTTTTAAAGACAATTTAATCTTTGACTTTAAAAGTAAATCAAAAAATGAAATTAGTAATAAAAAGTTTAATATTGCAAGTTTTAATGAATTCAATTCCTTTAAAATTTTATTTTTTAAGTATTGATTAACAATTCAGAAATATCGAATATATTTCAAAAATTAAAATTTTTTAAAATTAAAAAAATATTATTTTGATATTTTATACATTCATATTAAAGAAGTGTTAGTGAATATATGTATTGAATATAATATTAATACGAATATGTGAGATAATTTAAAATTTGATTTTTGCTACTAGCTTATTGGTCCAACGGGGCATTTGCTAGTAAAAAACCCAAGCATGATTACCCATCTTTATTTGAAAAGTTTGACTTAATGATGACTAAATATACCGTTGTAAGTCAGTAATGAATGATGGCGACGACGGTGAAAACCTACTAATGAATTCGTCTCTGAAGTGGTTAATTACTATAAACACGAAAGCAAATGAAGCCGGCTCTTTTGGACACCAGCATGGCGCTTGGCTCTGCGTATCCTAGTCAGCAATTCCATATGACCATTTGGGGTAAGTGTTCAATCTGGTAGCGGTAACGGCCGTTTCTTAGAGGAGCAGTTTCGATGTTTAACGTGTTGCGAAAACTCCACAGTACGGAAACGGCAACGTTGTGATTCCAAGCCTAAGGACAAGGGGAGCAATAGCCAACATTAAAAGTCACTCTGTCAACACCCGTTTTCCCCCATCTCCCCATCTCTAGCAGTGGAATGTACAAACAAGTTCATCAACGCTGGCCGCTAACAAAATTAACGGCTGCTTGTTCCAACTTCCACGGGAACCCATGTCTTCCCGTGGAAGCTGGATGTCACCCGCCCTGGCGCCACAATCCGTGGAATGATTGGCAAGTTCTTCTTAGTCTTCTTTTCATAGTCCATATTTCTCCGATTTTCCTGATCACAACCGACAATTAAGCATGGTATTTTTTTAGTCAATTATTACAAGTACTTGCTCCGCTGATTAAATGCTCTGTTTTTGCTTTGTCATTTATAGGTGCGAGCGCAGGACTGGTAGCTCTATTATCCGCAAGAGTGGTCAGTATTTGATATACCAGTAGAGGTGGCTGATGAAGCAAAAGAACAAATTCGGTCCATAAAATAGGGTCGCTATTTTGCAACAAAAGCTCTCCGTGAAACAAGGTTCCTCCCTCACGCTTAGAATCTTTACTGCTCAAGCATGGAAAAGGGCTGCCAACAACCTCCACGACAGCTAGGTACAATCAAGAAATCCAAACTAGCGGATCAAAGACATTAAACAGTTCATGTACTCTCCCAAATAAATCATAGGAACGTGGTCAGACTCTCCTAGGTTGTTGTCTACAAACAGAGCAATTATGTTTGAGGATAGCAGCGGAGGTAGCAGGGGCACTGTCCAATCCAATCTACACTCTGCTGCCGCCGTACCCATCATCCAAAGAGATATCAACTCCTCTAACATTCTTTCGGATGAGACTTGCACCACCATATTCCCTGATTTTGGAGCTTCCAGAAGGAGACCTGGCCACGACGATAAAAGGTACTTGTGGATACCTCCACCCAAAATACATTCGAAGGAACTAACTCCCCGACAAGAGTGACGTGAAGAGTTTTGGATGTAATTCTTGAGCTGCTAACAGGAAGGCGCTATCATTGATGGGCCAGAAGTGGGTCGCTCGTTTGAAGTTGTTAAAAGAGGGACCGTGAATCAATGGTGGTGGAAATAAGCAGGCGCTGAACAGAGCGGCTGTAAATTGAGGCTTAAATGAGAGGAGAGACCCGCCGTGAACGCCGAAGGGAGTGGCGTTGGAGTTAAGAGGGAGTAAGAATGATAGTTCAACTATGACGAATCACAGCCATAGTTTCCTCCGACGTCCCGTTTTACTGAATATGTTTGGGAGAACACGGAGTGGGATAGCATTATGGATCGTGTGCTAATTGATTTAGAATTGGATGATGATGGAAGATGATTTCCTGCGTATGACATCACCAATTATCTGCGCTTTGCAGCTGTATTTAAAAAAACAAAACAAAACAGAGAAAAAGGAGAGAAAGAACAGAGAGCTACAATTGTTTGTCCCTTTCAATGCCATTTCATGGGCAGTCACCAGATGCATCAGCATTACATACTAAATACGCTCTTGATGATTGAAATTAAAGATATTTCTTTTTTGGATAAAATTACAGGTATTAATTAAGCTTCCAATATGATGCCCTGGTGTTGGAAGTCTTTTAGTCACGTCTATTTAAGATTTGTTAGGTTACTTTTACCCTCTCATGCATGTTATATTCTATTGTTATTTGTTTAGGGCTCTTTTGTTCAATTCTCAAATTTTAAAGATGAGGTAATACAGTACATGACCATGGAATCGGGCAAAAAATATCTATTAAATTTAATCAAATAAAAAAAATAATGCTTTTAAGATTCATCTTCTCTGGGTTCTGGGGATTCATTATCTTCTTCCTCGACGATAATCAGACCACACATAAAAAGCAATTAAAGTATAAGCCCAGAACCACAAACATAAAGCATAAGTTTACCTCTTTCACAAAAAATTCTCCGTGTTATCTTCTTCTGTTTCGGTTGTTCTTTCTTCTCCTTCAAGGAGTTTATTCCGTCTCCATTTCTTCATCCCTCTTGCTCTGCCATTGCCATTGCCATTGCGATCCACGATGAAGGGCGAAGGAAATTCTCGGACTTGCCCTTCGATTTTACTGCTCACAAGAACCTCATGCTTGACCTTGTGTTAGCAGTCGAAGATCGCTTCAATTTACAGCTTCTTCCTTGTACGCTCCCACCGGACGTTCAGTACTACCAGGGGCTAGACACGTTCGGTCCATATTCCATAATTCGCTGTGCTTCCATAACGACCGTGGATCTCGGCCGGAATATGCTCGTCGAAGAAATCATCGTCATCACAATCTCCCTCCTCACCACAATTACTAGAAAATATTCCAAATGACATTCGATCAATTAAACTTATAATGATGGCTGTTAGCTAGATCATTAAAATTATACTCTGTTTTTAAATATAAAAAAATAATCAATTCATATAATTTAAACAAAATTGATTGAGGATAATATAAAAAGTTAAATTAAATTATCCTTACAATTAATAAAAAAGATTTGTGTGATAAAAATAGACATTGACTTTATGAAAAATAATTTTTAAAAATATGTAATAAATATTTTTTTGAAATTTTAATTTTTCTTATAAATAAAAAAAAAACATAAATAATTTTTTAAATATTAAAAAACGAAGTAATATAATTATAGTGGCTTACAAGTTTTATTTTTCAAACAAAGATGCAAGCCCCAGGACGGGAGTAAAAATTAAATCGTGAGTAAATTATATCATGATCCCTTCATTGATAAAAAACGAAAGTTCATATGAAGGCTGAAGCTTGTAGTTCCGGCATGTAACTTCATGAGTTTAGGTTTAACTTGCTCGCTCACGATATCATCTTGGTATTAGGTCCAATGATCTATTATTTGGATGTCTTAATTTTATGAGTTTAAACATATTTTAATTACTTTCTTTTGAATGACTTAATCATGACCTTATATTAAAAAGAGATAAAAATAAAATAGACCGAAATACATATTTACTTCTTTAACTTTACACAAGATTATTTTAATCTCTTAAATTTATAAAGTATCTTTTTAATTCTTTAACCTTAATATTGTTAGTTTCATCTTAGCAAATTTTTATATTGAACTTTTAAATACTAACAAAATACTCTCAAACCTTAACTTATTAAGGTTAATTTTTTTAAAATAATAATGATAGATACAAAAAAATAATCATTTAAAACTAATGATGTTAGGGTTAAATAACAAAAAAAAAATACTTTACAAAGTTAAGGGATCAAATTAAAACTTTATATAAAGTTAGAAAATTAAAAATATATTTTAACCAATAAAATATAAGTACAATTTTTGAATTCAAACCCTATTATCTAATAAAAAGATGAAATTATTGCTGAAGGTGATCAACTCTAGTGAAAACCGGTATGTGAAGTTGTGAGTAATGTTATGAGAACCAGACCGGTTATTGAACTGGTCGATACTGGTTCACGGTTCAATGATCAAACCACGATTTGAATCTTGATTCAACCGGTCATAAATAAATTAATATATTTTAAATATTATATATTTAAAATATAAAGGAATAATCACATATAATAACAAAAATGAATGTCTAAATTTCAAACAAAATAATATACAATAAAAAAAATATAACATCCATTAATATTGCATAATTTTCACCCAAAATATATATAAGTATTTCATAATTTATAATGTATAACTTTAAAATATATACACATATGCATAATTCATACATATTTTTTGTATTTTTTATTTCATAATGCTTATTAGGTATAAATATGAATAAGTTATAATTTAAAAATATGAATTAAAATACAAAAAATAAAAAAAAAACATAACCGGTTCTTACTCGGTTTTCCCAATTTTTGGCCGATTCTACCTATTTTTGACCGGTTTTTGAATTTTTTGATTTTTGGTGATGATTGAACTGGACTAGGGATCGGTTCCCAGTTGAATTAGCTGGTCCGGTTTGATTCTAATAATAGTGGTTGTGAGTTCAAATATTATATATATATATATATATATACTCCCTCCGTTCAAAAATATAAGGCATTTTTTGAAGAGTTCGATGTTAAAAAATGTAAGACCTTTTTAGTCTCTCTAGGTGTAATAATTGCTCTTTTTTTAAAAGTGCCTATTGATTAATAACTTTATATTTATAATAGGGTGTTTCATATGGATAAATATGAAAAGATAGGGTTAGTTAGAAAGTGGATAACTATTTTATTGATTGTGAGATTTGATTAAAAATACTTTATATTTTTAAGCAAAGAAAATGTGTGTGTATATATATGTAAAAACAAAGCTATTTGTTATTTATATATTATATAAAAAACTCTTTCTGAATCATAATATAAGTTTCTTTCTATAAGCACCCATTTGTTTAAAATATCGGGTATTTGATAAATTTTTTTTTTTTCATTTTTCCCTTAACCTTTGTTTTTCTTATCTTTAAATGTTAGAAATTATGCATGTCCTGCTAGAAAAACTTAAAGGTATAAATGAAAAGAAATGAATATTAAAAAAAAAGATTTCAATTAATAGTTTTTATAAATAGTAAATTTGCTGACAATAGCAAATATTATAGTGTAGAGAGAATAAAGATTAGTCAAAAGAGAGAGGCTAACTTGACAAGTAGACAATGATAGGCAAGCTATAATTTGAGCATGTTTGACCAATTAAGCTGCAGTATAAACAAAAGTTTGATAATAATAAAGAATAAAAGGGGGCAAGAACTTTCAAACGAGGAGACGCGCGGCAGAGTTTCAACATGAATAACATTAAGAGGAACGGGTGCAGCATAATTGAATTGAATCAGTCCCTTGAACGCGTTTTTTTTTTTTTTAGTTAGTTAGTTTATATAATTAAGGAAGCCGTCCTAAATGTACAAGAAATTGAAGTTTTCACTTTGACCGGCCAGTTGCTCAAAATTGTAAATTGCACTTGCACACAATGTGCATGCGCGTGCATTAAAGGGGATCCGGAGCAGGCAGACCCTCTTGCAGAGCTAAAAATGGAGACTGCGAGGAGAGTTATGAAGCTTTGGTTGATTCTACTATTATTAGCAGCCATAGGAGCCACTATAGAAGCTCAATCGCTTGAATGCTGCCTCAGTAAATTAAATGTGGAGATGCAGAGATTCCATATCCATTCGGCGTTGGGGTGCAACCTAATACTGGTCGAAACTGCTTCTTGCAAGAGTCATTTTATCTCACTTGCAATACCTCCACCTCCACGTTATTCTACAGCGACCGCCCAGTTTCTAACATATCTGTTCAAGGTGGTCATCTTGACATTTCCATGCCTGTCTCCAAGATTTGTTACAATCAACCGGGCAGCGATATCTCTAATAGTCACTCTCTTGAAAACAATCCTCCTTTCACCTTATCCAGCACCCAAAACAAGTTCGCAAGTGTTGGTTGCGACACTCTCGGCATAATTCAATTCCAGAACAATCTTAAAAATGGTGGCTGCGTGACGCTATGCGACTTGCCTCCTCCGGGAGATTTGAATGACAAGACTTGTTCGGGGACTGGGTGTTGCCAGGTGGATATTCCCGTGGGAATGAGGAATCTCACTGTTCTAGCATCTGCCGTCTTCAACCACTCAAACGTCCCGGCTTTTAACAATTGCAGTTGTGCTTTTGTTGCCAAACAGAGCTGGTTTAATTTCTCCGTTGATTATCTGCACGACTTTCCCTTTGATGTGGTCCCACTTGTCCTAGATTGGACTGTTTTAGATGATACTTGTCAGGTTGCTTTCATCACACCGGATTATGCCTGTACCTCTAGCACTAAATGTATCGACTCCACTGATGGATTTGGTTGCAATTACAAATGCAAACCCGGTTTTGATGGAAACCCATCCCATTCTTATGGGTGTCATGGTAATTTTACAATTCCATTTCTTTTCCAACCATCTACAACTTGATTACTTTCATTTCCAGCGTAGCATTCACCAATGCCATTCTTGGCGCAAAGAAATGAAATGCAGACTTGGACGAATGCCAGGAATCTACTGACAACTGCATAGGTAAAGAAAATTGCCACAACACAATTGGATCTTTTGAGTGTTCTTGCCCGCCTGGCTGCTCTGGGAATGGAACCACGCTGGGGGATGCCACCCACCCTAGTCAAAAATTCCACTTGCTATGGTCTTCATTGGTAAGGCGCTTTAATTTCTCAGTAATGTTCCTTTTTTGTTTCCTTCATTCTTGTTAAGCATTAAGCTAAGCTATTAGCTAATTGTTTGTACGTGTAACATATGCACCTTGTCCTCTAAAATATTTGTCTCCATCAAACATATACAGGTATAAGTATAGGCTTGATAGCTCTGTTTATGAGCATATCTTGGTTGTACTTGGTGTCCCAAAAGAGGAAGCTCATCAAGCAAAAGGGGGAAAAAAATTGTCAAAACGGTGTTTCATCTTGCAACAATGACTCTTTGGAAAACACGGCCCTTCCCTCGCAACTGAAATATTTACTGACAATGAATTAAAAATGGCCACCAACAACTATCATGACAACTTGATCATTGGTTGAGAAGGTTTTGGTACTGTTCAAAAAGGCATTCTCCCGGACAAGAAAGTTCTTGCAATCAAGAAATCCAAACTGATGAATCAAAGCCAAGTTGAACAATTTGTTAATGAGGTGATTGTAACCTCCCAAATAAATCATCACAATAAAGTCAAACTCATGGTATGTTGTTTGAAAACAGAAGTTCCTCTATTCATCTACGAGTTTATTAATAATGGGACTCTTTTTACTTTGATTCATAATAAAAGAAAGTCTTCCCTTATCACCTAGTAAACCCATTTAAGGATAGTATCAGAAATAGTAGGAGCACTATCTTATTTACATCATGCTGCATCCATGCCCATAGTCCATAGAGATATCAAGTAGCAGGGGAACGGAGCCTGAGAAAGGTCATTTGGTGTCGTGGGTCCTTGGCACATAATGCTTTTGATCTCAATAATCATCTTCCACTGCCCAGGTTAATTAGAACATCATCCGAAATACTTTGCCAATTTGTATTTCCATGAATAATGCTGTCACCATATCCACTAGAATTGGATGTCTCCCCAAGCAATAATGTTTGAGCTTCCTCCAAATTCAGGTCTTGGTTGTCCCTTAAATGATTCTCCATCATCTTTATTCCCTCTGTCTTCATTGCCACTTCCTTCATGTTGGGTCTCTCCTCTCCTCCAAGTCTCCCACGTCTTGCTACAGGCATGGCCACTTCTTTCACCCTCTCCTTATTTTCGTCATTCATTATGCCATTCTCAATAACTTCACATAAATGACCCTCATTCAAATATGAAAGGAAGTGCATTACTAGATTTACTTCCTTTTTTGGCCTGTCAAACGAAATGACTTTTTTCCTTACTAGTAGCCTTACAAACATTACCTCAAAACTATACACATTACTCTTTTCAATAAGTTGATTTGTTTTCACGCATTTTGAATTCAAATATTCAAAAATACCTTATACTATTATAGCCAACCCTATTTGATCTAGGAGAACAAATTTGGAAGCTCCAAAATTAAACCCTTTGGCAATGTAGCTCTCATCCAGTTGCTAGTTATGTGTATAGTTTTTTTTTTTCGGTTAAAACCCGGTTGCTAGCCCTTTTTAAGAAAGGCCATGAGCCCATATCCATTTCCCCGTGCCATTGGCATTCCGAATTCTACTCATCAAAACGACGTTGTTTTGCTTGAATTAATCACAGCCGTCCTTTTCGTCCAAAAATTTGAACTGTTTTGTTGAACTGCGAGGCGCGCTCCGTTCCCCTTCCAACATTTTCGTAACTTCTAACAACATTCTTCTTCTTCTTCTTCTCCCATCGTACTGAGTTGAAGATCCTAATTCTTCCATTTATTTTTCCTGTCTTCCTCGTAGATTTTTTTTGTTTGCGAGTGTTTTCAATTTGTCATCGCTATGGATTTTGGCCACAGTTTGCTTGTTGGCAAGTCCAAGATCGGAGAAGAAATGGTAGAAGCTTAAATGAGCACTTCTAGCGGTGAGGTCCGAGAAAGTAATTAAAGAAAATGTTTCGGCAGTTTCTTTCTCATCGGGCAATTCAGATGTTTGGACAAGATGAGCGGGTCAGATTATTTCACGAAAATGTCGTTTGGATCAGGATCGGTCACGTTCTGTGCCTGGTCCACCGACTCTTTAATTTCTACACGAAATCATGCTAATTTATTTGAATTGATTAGATAAATTGTAGCCAGTTAATGAATATGTACGTAAGAAATGTTTCTCAATTATTTTAGGAAATAAATTCATTATTTTTTATCAAGTAATTAATTTAATTTTGAATTTTAGGTGGTATTGTGCTGTTCATTTTGCACGATATACAAGATTTGAATTATGTTGATGATCGATTTTGCTCTTATCATTTTAAATTTTTATTCAATTCAAGTATTTTTAATGTTCAATTTTTCCTAAACAGCAAGCTGAAGCAGTGACTTAATTAAACAATTTTTTTATTGAAAATATCGAAAGTTGATTGATCATTTGATTGTAATAAATTGTCAAGTTAATTAAAAATCAGGTTTCAAGTCAATTTTAGGTCATTCAATTTCGAATCAATCATCAGATATGTAATAATGTAATTAAAGTTGATTGGCGCTCACAGATTTACTTCCAAAATCCAAAAGACGATGAATCTGGTTAACACCACCCCTTGGTCCTTAATGGAAAAATGGCCGTAATTCCCAATCAGAATTTGAATCATTGATGAACAATCCTTGAACGAAAAAGTGAATAATCTGCAATGATGATATCATTTTATAAATAGAAATATTATGCTCGAGCAGCCAGCAGTATCATCGCATTAATTCCAAATTCCCAGCTATTCTTCCCCGAGAAAGCGAAGTACGGGAGACCATGGCTCTGAAGATACTCTTCTACTTGGTTCTATATGCAGGAGCCATGGCAGCAACCGAGGCTCAATCCCTCGCAGGTTGTCCCAACAAATGCGGAGACGTGGACATTCCATTTCCATTTGGCGTGGGCGTTCAACCTGGTACTCGGCGCAACTGCTTCTTGGAGGAACCATTTGACCTCACCTGCAACAAATCCACGCTGTTCTTCAGAAACGTCCCTGTTTCCAACATATCCATCCAAGAAGCTCAAATGGACATCTCGATGCCTGCCTCCAAGATTTGTTACAATCACTCGGGAGTGAATATAGACGTGTCTACCTCCAGTTTTTACAGCGGGGCTTTCACCATTTTCCAGCACCCAAAACAAGTTCATAAGCTTAGGATGCGACACCCTGGGCGTTATCAGTTTCCCTAACACTCTTAGCTATTCCGGTGGCTGCGTGACGCTGTGTGACACGCCTCCCCCGAAGGACATCAATCAGAATACTTGTTCGGGGACAGGGTGTTGCCAGGTGAATATTCCTGTCGGAAAGAATAATTACTCCTTGGAAGTATCCAGCGTCAGCAACCATTCAAAAGTGTTGGGCTTCAACAACTGCAGCTATGCTTTTCTTGTCAAACAGGGCTGGTTTAATTTCTCCCTTGATTATCTGCACTCATTTCCCTTTGATATGGTCCCCTTTGCCCTGGATTGGACTGTTTCCAATCTCACTTGCCAAACTGCTTCCAGTAGCATCAATGGCTTTGCCTGCAAGTCCAACTCTTATTGTGAGGATTCTAGTGATGGAGTTGGGTATAACTGCAAATGCAAAACTGGTTTTGAGGGAAATCCATACCATCCCGATGGATGTCACGGTACGTACGTGATTCTATCATTGCCTCTCTTCTCGCACCATTTACTTCAGATTCATCTTCGGACCATGGTATTTAAAATTTATATATTATTTTATATTTATTAATATAAACAATTATTTAAAAATTTTCATATATCTTTTGCTTATTACTAACTACCGAGACAATATAGATTTAATTTGAATTATTTAAATTTAATATTAAATTTTTTTACAAATTAACTATCTAAATTTACTCTAAATAGTTCATATTTAAAAATTTTAACTTATATTTTTTTAAGAAAATTAAAAGTGCTGGTTAGGATATTTTTTTTATTTTTAATATATTTAATTAAAAAAAATTTATATAAAATTTAATATTAAATTTGGATTGTACATGACATATTTGAATAGTTAATTTATTTATATTAAAATGGATCTTTCAGATTAAATTTATATTGTCTAGATTTATAATAAGTATATCTATTAAAGAATTTATGAATTTATATTTTAATAACATTTTAATAAATAAAAATAAAAATATAAAAATGTTAAATATGAACCATTTGAATGGTCCATATCTCATTAGGGTGATAGAAGCACTCCATTTACTTCTCTAAATTAATGCCCTCTCTCTCTCTATCAGATGTTGATGAGTGTAGTAGACCCAATAACTGCAGTATTCCAAAGCAATGCTACAACTTCGATGGTGGCTACAACTGTTCTTGTCCGCCTCGTTATAGAGGCGACGGCTACACCAATGGGACTGGCTGTACCTTGGACCTTCGTCGATCCAAGTATAAATGGCTTATCATTATAATGGCATTGGGTAAGAATATGAATGACTCTCTTTTATTATGTTCTTCAAATTTAAAATTTTTTGGCGTTTTGTTTAAAACATGCCTTGTTCTTTGTTTATTTATCTGTACTTTCATTTACATATTTTAACATAATTAAGGCATGTTTGTCTTTGTTTGTTCATAATAGGGTGGATTTTAATTTTTTATTAGGTACGTAGCGTAGCTCATCTTGTGAAGGGATTTTATTACCCATTCACATGCCAGGGCCATGCAAATCAATCCTAAAAATTTGAATGCTCCCATCTTTTCAAAAATACCAATGTAATATCTCAGTTTGTTCAGAGGATGGTTCATGCTGTACTACATTGCTTGCAGGTTTTAGTGTGGCCCTTCTAGTTGTCTTCACGCTTATCTCATCATTGTGCTGGGCACACAAGCGAAGAACTGTAAAAAATCTCAAGCAGAGAAATTTCGCGCAAAATGGAGGATATATGCTACTTAAACAGCTTTCACAACAACAAGGATATACTGAAAGAACAAAGATATTCACAGAATCTGAACTTAAAAATGCCACGGGCAATTTTCATGAAAGTAAAATCATTGGCTGTGGGGGACAATGCATAGTTTATAAAGGTACACTACCTGACAACACTCCAATTGCAGTTAAAAAGTCTAGAGTAGGAGGGGATTCTAGACAAATCAGGGATTTCATTAGTGAAGTGGCTTTGCTTTCCCAAATCAATCATAAAAATGTAGTTAAACTTTTTGGATGTTGCCTTGAAACAGAAATTCCTTTATTAGTTTATGAGTTTGTGGACAATGGCACACTTCTTGACCACATAGATCCTTTGAAAACTGAATTTCCTATTTCTTGGGAGACTCGGTTACGAATAGCTACAGAAATTGCTGAGGCAATCTCATATTTGCACTCTACTGCTTCTATTCCTATTGTCCATCGAGATATCAAATCTGCTAATATACTTTTAGACCATAATTACAAAGCAAAGGTGTCTGATTTCGGTGCTTCAAGACTTGTTTCTTTTGATGATCTCGTTCTACCGTGGTGCAAGGGACTTTTGGATACTTGGATCCAGAGTACCTCCATACAGGTCAACTTAATGAAAAAAGTGATGTCTATAGCTTTGGAGTTGTACTCGTGGAATTACTCACCGGAAGTAAAGTAGTTGAATTCAATAGACGAGGAC